ACAGCCTCAGTCCTGGTCTACAGCCTCAGTCCTGGGTCTACAGCCTCAGTCCTGGGTCTACAGCCTCAGTCCTGGGTCTACAGCCTCAGTCCTGGGTCTACAGCCTCAGTCCTGGGTCTACAGCCTCAGTCCTGGGTCTACAGCCTCAGTCCTGGTCTACAGCCTCAGTCCTGGGTCTACAGCCTCAGTCCTGGGTCTACAGCCTCAGTCCTGGGTCTACAGCCTCAGTCCTGGGTCTACAGCCTCAGTCCTGGGTCTACAGCCTCAGTCCTGGGTCTACAGCCTCAGTCCTGGGTCTACAGCCTCAGTCCTGGGTCTACAGCCTCAGTCCTGGGTCTACAGCCTCAGTCCTGGGTCTACAGCCTCAGTCCTGGGTCTACAGCCTCAGTCCTGGGTCTACAGCCTCAGTCCTGGGTCTACAGCCTCAGTCCTGGTCTACAGCCTCAGTCCTGGGTCTACAGCCTCAGTCCTGGGTCTACAGCCTCAGTCCTGGGTCTACAGCCTCAGTCCTGGGTCTACAGCCTCAGTCCTGGGTCTACAGCCTCAGTCCTGGGTCTACAGCCTCAGTCCTGGTCTACAGCCTCAGTCCTGGGTCTACAGCCTCAGTCCTGGTCTACAGCCTCAGTCCTGGGTCTACAGCCTCAGTCCTGGGTCTACAGCCTCAGTCCTGGGTCTACAGCCTCAGTCCTGGGTCTACAGCCTCAGTCCTGGGTCTACAGCCTCAGTCCTGGGTCTACAGCCTCAGTCCTGGGTCTACAGCCTCAGTCCTGGGTCTACAGCCTCAGTCCTGGTCTACAGCCTCAGTCCTGGGTCTACAGCCTCAGTCCTGGGTCTACAGCCTCAGTCCTGGGTCTACAGCCTCAGTCCTGGGTCTACAGCCTCAGTCCTGGGTCTACAGCCTCAGTCCTGGGTCTACAGCCTCAGTCCTGGTCTACAGCCTCAGTCCTGGTCTACAGCCTCAGTCCTGGGTCTACAGCCTCAGTCCTGGGTCTACAGCCTCAGTCCTGGGTCTACAGCCTCAGTCCTGGGTCTACAGCCTCAGTCCTGGGTCTACAGCCTCAGTCCTGGGTCTACAGCCTCAGTCCTGGGTCTACAGCCTCAGTCCTGGTCTACAGCCTCAGTCCTGGGTCTACAGCCTCAGTCCTGGGTCTACAGCCTCAGTCCTGGGTCTACAGCCTCAGTCCTGGGTCTACAGCCTCAGTCCTGGGTCTACAGCCTCAGTCCTGGGTCTACAGCCTCAGTCCTGGGTCTACAGCCTCAGTCCTGGGTCTACAGCCTCAGTCCTGGGTCTAAGACAGAGACACAGTGTGTGTGTGTGTGTGTGTGTACCTGAGACACACAGACAGTGACAGTGTGTACCTGAGACCACAGACAGAGACACAGAGTGTGTGTGTGTAGCTGAGACCACAGACAGCCACAGAGTGTGTGTGTGTACCTGAGACCACAGAGACACAGTGTGTGTGTGTGTACCTGAGACCACAGACAGAGACACAGTGTGTGTGTGTGTGTGTGTGAGGGTGTGTCTGAGACCACAGAGACACAGTGTGTGTGTGTACCTGAGACCACAGACAGATACATGTGTGTGTGTGTGTGTGTGTGTGTACCTGAGACCACAGACAGAGACACAGTGTGTGTGTGTGTGTGTGCACTTGTTTTCAACTCCTGGTGGGTTCCATAACCTGAGATTCCGCTCACGTCATGGGGACTGGTTTTACGTGGTGGGGCCCGAACACCGGACCCCACTGGTCCAAGCTTAATAATCAATGGGTAATGCTTTTCTAACGGTCCTTATGCAGTCTCTGTAAAAATATGGAAAGGACCCCTGGAGGTTTACTTTCCTGAAAAAAGTGTGTTATGTGTCGGAACCCTGGTGGTGGGTTGCGGGATATCAAGGAGGGGCACACTGGGGCAATTTCAGTCCAGCAGGCTGGAGTCAATCATGGAGCAGCACAACAGAGGAAATCAGGTGTCAGGCTAGAAAAAGGTGCAAGTGTGTGGTTCATTAGGCTGCAAGAAATCATGGAGGAGCACACTGAAGCGCACGCTTACAACCCACTGGTAAGTGCTGACTACAAGTCATGACTTCAAATTGTTATATAGAATGATTACAAATTATTTGTTGTTTGTGCAGCTTAGTCAAGAGTCCCTAATTGATGAAGTCGACTCAGATTCTGACGATTTAACTGTCAAGAAGAAACCTGTAAAAAAGTATGGAAAAAGAAAAATCAAAAACACTTTTCTTCAAGACTCGGAAAGTGACGAACCAAAGGCAAATAAGATTGTTATCATGCAGCTGCAAAAGAAGAAAAATGGGGGGCGAGTTTATAGCAAGAGACACTTCTGCCTCTACTGTTCAATGTCCTGCCACAAAATGTCCCGTCATTTGACTAGAAAACATGGAAATGAAAGTGACGTAGCCAGAGCATTGGCTCTACCTGTGAAATCTAAAGCACGTAAACTTCAGTTTGATTTGATCAGGAATAGTGGAAACCGTGAGCACAATTTTGAGGTTTTAAAGGCCGGCATTGGAACTTTAGTCCCAGCTAAACAGCCAAATTCCCCAGTTAAATCCAGTGAGTTTTTGCACTGTATAGACTGTGGGGCATTGCTTAAGCGAAAGTCGCTGTGGAGGCATGTGGCCAGGTGCCGGCTTTCACAGAAAGATGCCCAGGCTAAACCAGGCTAAACCAGGTAGAAGTAGGGTCCAGTCCCTCTGCTCCCTAGCCCAGCCTGTACCGGAGGGCATCAGCAAAAAGCTGTGGTCTTTAATTTCGGCAATGCATCAGGATGAGGTCACGGGTGTTGTCAAAGCAGAAAAGGGGATTCTGAGACTCGGAGAGCACCTGTACTTAAAACACGGGCATGATAAGACTAAGCATGATTACATTAGGCAGAAAATGAGAGAAGTCGGTAGGTTAATTAACAAAGCAAAAACTGCAGGGAAACTGAAAACAATTAAGGATTTCTTTATTCCTTCCAACTTTAACCATGTGATTGATGCAGTCAGGTCTGTGGCTGGATATGAGGAAACAAATCAATACAAGACTCCATCCTTGGCCCTCAAACTCGGCCATAGCCTCAGAAAGCAGATATTCTTGAATGTGACTCAAAAATGGAGCATTGTGTTGATGAACTATTTATTAAAAACCTCCAACGAAGCCGGCTGCTTTTTGAGAAGAGGTGGGACGTCTGTGTTTCTTCTGCTGCCCTACAGACCCTCCGGCAAGCCAAGTGGAACACTCCGGACCTGCTCCCTCTGACTGAGGACGTTAGAGCCATGCATGCACATATTGAGGTATGTCGACCTGAATATGTGCAAACCCTAATAAGTGAGCCAACGTCTAAGCATTGGTCTAAACTGGCAGTTTTGACTCTTTGTGAGGTCATCATTTTCAATCGAAGAAGGGAAGGTGAGGTTTCAAAGATGCCACTGACAGCC